ATCTAACCCCTGGGCTGTGGACTGGTACCAGTCCATGGTCTGTTAGGAACTGGGCCACGCAGGAGGTGAGAGGCAGGCAGTGAGCAAAGCTTAATCTGTATTTGCAGCCACTCCCCAGCGCTAACATCACAGCCTCAGCTCCACCTCAGATCATGAGGCATTACATTCTCATAAGAGCACTGGTCCCTGGTGCCAAAAAGGTTGAGGACTACTGCATAGAATGTGGTTCAGTATAAATTAGTGTTCTATTTATGCAGTTTAGACTACAGAATACTAAAAAAGAATTCTTTCCTAAGGGTGCTTTTGTATACTTGTCTCCATGTTTGTTACTTCAACTTCTGAAGTATTTATCTGTCCTTCACTATCTACCTGCATTTCATTGTTACTGGCTAAGTCAGTCAGCCAGCCCCTGACTATTAACTATCCAGTTTGCTATATTTTTGTGCCAGGGCTGCTGAAAATGGAACCCAATTTTGAAAACATTAAGGTCGGAGGAGACTGCTTGAAGAATACTGTTCTAAAAGAATTGCAGCACTACATATGAATTGAGTAGCCAGCAGATACTATAATCTAAGATGGGTACCAGCCATTACATATACCTTTTACCTGAGAGTTAGTGATCTAGGCCAGCAGTCCCCAACCTTTATGGCATTAGGGACCGGTGCTCCTATGAGGATCTAATGCCTGATGATCTGAGGTGGAGCTGAGGCAGTGACGCTAGGGCTGGGAAATGACTGCCAATACAGATGAAGCTTCGCTCCCCCGCCCACCGCTCACCTACTGCTGTGTGGCCTGATGCCTAACAGGCCATGGACAGGTTCCAGTCCACAGCCCAGGGGCTGAGGTCCCGTGGTCTAGGCTATAAAGGTCCCAGTCTTGTTTCTTGCCAGTCGATTGTAATCTGGTTGTCTGTGCTTTCCTACCTAAAAACACCGTCAGCATTAGTCTTTCTAGCCTGTACCGAAGTTTTAGAAATATTCTACATAGGATCTAGCATATAAAAATAAGAAGACATCTTGGAAATCACCAATAAACATAAACCATCATCAGATGTGTTATAATGAGATGGGTTCTCTCACATAAAAATCTGTCTTTTATACTAGACAGATAATGGTGTCCCTTAGATAAAGAGAACAGAAGAGTAAGGTTAATAAAAATGGGTTTGGTTAAGTGTGTGGGGATAATGAGCTCACTGTTTAACCCACTTGGTTTAGAGATGCTATCACGAGACATTCAAATGTGGATAATCTCTAGGGCCTGGATATCAAAAGACGTCAAGGCAGATCTAGGTGTCATCAGCATATATGTAGTAGTTACATAAAGAAAACATGGGAAACAGAAAGAACACTAAAAGACACAGGTGAGTGAAGGTAACCTACATGTAAGAGATAAAAACAGAGGGGATGAGGTTGGTGAAGAAAGCCAAGGGAAAATAGTTTCAAAGAGGGAGTGATGAAGAGCAAATGCCATAGAAAGGGCAAGATCTAAAAAGATCTAAAAAGAAAAAAAAGCTGGGTTTGGTGATTACTGACTTTATGACAAAACTGAGGAGTAAAAAGGGAAATCAGATTTCAGAAAAGTAATCAGCAAACAAGAAAAGGAAATAATAAAGATTATTTGTTCAAAAGCTTCATTTAACAGAACGTATTTGGCTTCTCTGAATATAGAGGCCTTATCAGATGCTCACAAACACGTTCACTACTGACAATAAGAAATCCTCTCCTTAAGTTAGTTCTTATTCAATTATAGCATATGTCAAATAGAACTGTTAAGTGCTTAATAAATGTAAGCCATTTTTCCAGGCACTGCTCTGGATATTAACATATTTTCTTATGTAATCACAACCGTGTAAAGTAGGTACTATCCCTAATGTACAGATGAGATGACAAAGACCCAGAGAGGATATTGGCAAGAAATAACTTGTCCAAGGTCCCACATTTAGTAGTATGGTAGTCAAACCGAAAATTTCACTCAAAAGAGTAAGAGGGAGGGAGGGCAATGTATGAAGTAAGGGTTAGTAGATGAGAACGATAAATGTTATAGTTAAGATTGCATTGATTCTTTAACTGGCCACAGTTTAATTTCTATTTAAGAACTGTTTTTAATTTGAATTTCTCTCTTCTTTCATCTCAGAATCCTACGTTGCTAGGACCACCATTTTAACACCTCTTATGACACTCAGATTCTGCACTGCATTAAAATGGTTATCTCTTCCTCTGAGTTGCAAGTTGCTTGAAAATGGAGCTGTATTTTATTTATCTTTGCATCTCTATTCCCCCAATCTTAAAAGCAGAAGATAATATAGTTATTGTGGGGATCATTTCACAATATATACAAATATCAAGTCATTATGTTATAAACCTGAAACTAATGTTATATGTCAACCATACTTCAATTAAAAAAAAAAATAGAAAAACAAAAAAGAAACAATAAAAGTTGGTTAGATGAATAATGATTTTTACTTTTCTAAAGTTCCTAGGGGCTTCAATAAAATAGTTTTAAAGTTTTTAATTGCTGTACAGGGCTGTTGTATCTCAATTATTAATGGGATTGTCCATGTTCAGAATACTTTTGGATCACTCAAATTTCCGATTTGGGGGGAAATACTCTTCTAAAGTAAAAATCAGATAAATTCCCCTGGATAAAACCTTTTAAAGATTCCCTATCTACTGGTTATAGTCTTATTCTCCAGCCTTATCACTAACGCACTCCACCTGGCTCTATCTACCAAACCACCTGCACTTCCCTCAACGGTACATTGCACAGAACATGCCCATATGTGTTCACCAGGTGAACACCTCTGCCTCTTCCTCTTCCTCCTTCTCCTCCATCAGGACACAGCTAAAATTCTCTTTTCTAATGCCTTCTGATATTTGTTGGGATTTTTTTTCTTCTATTTTTGCTCTCTCTTGCCTATTTTAAATTTCCTAAAACAAACTCCACAAGGCAACATTCATCATTTTTATCCTCATGTCTGGCAAGGAGCAGTTTAGTGTTTAATATTTATTGAAAGGATAAATTATTAAAACATAATTCAGTAAATCTGAATATAATATCAACCCACTACCAAAAGTGAAGACTTTAGGTAGTTTTCCATTATCAATAATGAATGGTACACTTTCTATTCTATCTCAACCCATAAATTCGTGAAGTCAAGGTAACTTGTGCCTTCGTTACCAGCTGATCATGATCACCATCACCAAAGACACAAAACAGATCCACAGAGTACCAAAATCTCTCTGTGACCTAATCAAATCAATAAGGCAGAGTCACAACTACTGGTAAATGATATGGAAAAACATCATTTAAAAAGCTTTGGACTTGCTCCAATTTAAGCATGTGAAATGTATTAAAATCACACAATTCTGGGGCAGTTTCTTTCTTGTCTTTTTATCTCCAGATGCATATTACATAGAAGACACTCAAACATCTTTTATAAAACCTGTGTTATAGCCAGCTTTGTCAAAGAGCAGCTACATCAGGTTTTTGGATAGGTCAAGAACATAATCTAACTGTGTTGGCCTTGAGGCCTTTACTAAATCATCTGAACAGTTAACATTTTAGTTTTCTCATATATCGCCTCAGCAGGTTTGTAAAGTAATGTGCTTTAACAAGTCTTGTCACAAGGCACAATGTGTTATGAGGAGATCTTCACATTTCATCCTAGAATAACTACGTCCTTGCAGCAATCTTCAAACTGCTTCTCTCATGTTACTTAATCCTGGGGCTTTATTATCTTCATTGTACACAAGGAAAAAGAGAAGGAAGGGTATAAAATGACTTGGCTGAAAAGACCCAGCAAGTCACTAAGAGACTTCATTTAAAATACCAGTTCCTTCGTCCTCTTTTCAAAGAACCATATAGAGAAACTCACTGACAACAGAGAGAAAAGAATCAATTAGTTATTAGCTTTTACTTATTTAGTTTGAATGAATAACCTAAGCTTCCTAGGTTTTAATAGCTCTAGGACTTGATGGATAAAGTTTTGCTGATTGAATCCAATTCATAAACCTACCTCTAACTTCTTTTAAATTTCAAGATAGTCTGACCTAAACTTTAACTCTGAAGACATTCTCTCTCTCCAGATCTCTTAATTCTTTTCAAATTTTGTTCAGTCTTTTAAATGTGTTAAGTCATACCTACCTTTCCAGGCAGGATCAAGGCTACCAGAATTTTCGTCTATATAAACAGTAAACCAATCCCTCTTGAGTCGTGAAGGTTTCAAAGGCACCCATCACTCACAGCCAACTCTAGACTTATTCTCCAATCTGAATTGTTAGGGGAGCCTAGCAATTTCAAATTCCAGGAATCCCCCTCTCATACACTTCTGAACCACCTTCGCAGGAGTACCTCTGCTAATCTTCACTCCGTTATGGAGTCCAGAAATGAGCTATCTCAAATTGCTCAGATTCAACAAGAATTATATATCAGCGTAGCAAGTAATGATAATTTGGCAGTTATAACTACGGACCCTGAAATGGGATAATGATCTAAAGATTCCCACAGTACACGTGCTGAGAACAAATTTTTCAGCAGATTCCATATCCTGGGCCCAAGTGACTTGCATAACTGGACGATCAGCACAGGCTCAAAAGGGGGCAGGGAGCTAGTAATTCAGTTTACTGTACTTTACTGTAAAATTCTACACCAAAATATTCTCACACATGCCTGCCTCTTAGATGATGTAAGTTCTGCCCCTAGACATTTAACTATCATCGGGGTTCTCTTCCACTGCAGCAGCCCCAGGCACCCAGTAACTCATTCCAAAGACTGCCTCTTGCGGCTCGCGCTAACAAATCCCGAAGCCCGCACGCTCCGCAGCTTGTGCGGAGACACGGTAGCCCCAAACTGGCCATCTCCCCCTTCCCCACGTCCCCGCGTCGCTCGTCATCCCGTGCCAGGCGCCACCCTCTCTGCATCCTGGGGCTCCCCGGGCCGGAGCCCTCCGAGGGCACTGCACTGCGATCGCCAGCGGGAGCGGTCCCTGAGCTGGCACCTACCTCCTGCCTCCTCCTCCCGGCTCGGCCGCGGGTCAACGTTCGCCCGCTTCTTCCAACGGCCCCAACG